GGAGGATTTAGGGGTCGGATAGGGCACTACTTGTACAGCGGCGAAAAGAAGCACGTTTTCGGCGGCATCGTCATCATCGGAGCTATCTTCGGCCTCCCTTGGTTCTTCATGAGTCGAGGTAAAACCCTAAACCCTAAAAAACTTTATTCGAAAATCCCTAAAAAACTTTATTCGAACCCTAATATGGTAGATTGTATTATTCCTCCATCTTGTCGTCTGTTCTCCGTGATTCCCCTGAAATTTTGCTTCTTTTAGTATTTAATCGTAGAAATGTATTGTTCTATGTAAATTTCAGATAACATACTGTGAGATCCTTATGTTGAACCTACGCTGTGCAATTATAGACCTTGTTTTCTCCATTTTAAAAAGATTTCAATAGGTCTGTTTTAAATTGGAATTCTGTGTTGCTGTCTTCCCTAACTTCATCTGTTTGAGATTGCATCGGTCCAACGTAAATTCATATGTTTGTTAGATGCACATGAGTCAAGTTGAGCTTCAATTTATTTTTATATTTATGATTGTAATTAAAGGAAACTGTGTTTTTAAGAAATAGGTCAGTTAAGTTGGTCACTTGCCCATTTTTCGTATGAAGAATTGGTCACGTTGCGTTCGTCTAGGGGGGAGATTTGGGTAGCACTTAGCATGCGCATAATTTTTATCTAATAGCATTTCTTTGAGATGAGTGGAGACATATTACAGTTCAAGCAGGTTTCCTTGGTAGCACTTCACTCACCCTGATGGGGCTTCCACTGTATTTTCTTTATCTTGAGACTTTACTTTCACCCTTCCATTATGCTTTTCTGGTAAAAATTGATGAGTTATGGATTGGTTGTTAACACGGTCGAAGGCTTTCGACATTTGAACAACATTGCAATCATAAACAATTTAGAAGCTGAGGTTTGAAGTATTGGTTGATACCAGCATTTTAATCTTTGTTTTGAATCTTGTGATCATTTTTCTTTATCTTTTTTTTTTCCAAATCTTGAATTGGCAATTATGAGCTACTTTAACTTCTGGGCATGACCCTGTACTTGGAAAGGTTACATTTACCTCTTTATTTCTTTGTTCTGGCATGATATACATATGTACTTATTCATTCAAGATCTCTGATAGCTTTTTAATGATTTAATCATTATTTTGAGGCATCATAGCTATAAATACTTGAACTATAGAATCATTATTTTGAGGCATCATAGCTATAAATACTTGAACTATAGTTGCATGTCATGTGTCTGCTACAGGTCTTGCTTATTATTCACCTCTGTTATCAAATACTTGAACTATAGTTGCATGTCATGTGTCTGCTACAGGTCTTGCTTATTATTCACCTCTGTTATCGGTTCATGAAAACAGAAAATGATTTTCTAATTTTTTTATGTCATCATTATTTAATCAGCATAATTTTTCAATTCAATTGTGTGGGTCTGATCGAGTAGAATCTTTACTCTGTTCTCCTATGCATTGTGTACCATACTCCTCTACAGATCTAGTATATTATTTGCTCCTGCTGTTGTCTTTGAACAACCACTTCATGATGTTAGATTAATTTATTTCAAGCAAAACCAGTTTGGTTGCACAAGTTTGATCATTCAATCTTCACTTAAGGCTCTTGGTTTTGTTGTTCATTATGTCTGCCTTTTTCCTCCGTTTTTATGAACAAAAGCACCATGGATTTTCAGTCTGTCTGTTTTGATTGCTAATCAGCGAACTTTTCCAATTCAGCTGTGTACATGACAAAGTATAATCTTCATTCTGTATCTCATTCTTCTGTATATCACCTCCCTTCTACAGATCTGTTATTATTTCCTTGCTGTTGTTGTATGAACGACACCAGACACCATATGTTTTTGATCATTTATTTCAATTGTTACGTGGTAACTTCTCCGACGCACATCGGCTAATCTTATTGGACGTACTTACCTCTCTCAAAATGAAAATACCTTCTACTTTTTTTTTATTTTGCAACAAATGATCATAACCATGTATAACTTAAGCTCGCTTCCACGACAGTTATTGAATATTTCACTTGTATGATCTCTTATTCATCATTTTCCTTATTATGGTGTGTTTGGATGGAGGGTGGAGGATGGAAGGGGCAGGGAAATTTGGATTTAACCTTGTTTGGGAGTTCTATTAGGAGGGTAGAGGAGGGGAAGTTAGGGAAATTTTGTACTAAAATCTCCCCCCCAACACACACACACACACACACCAAAAAAAAAAAATTTGGGAGCTAAAGGAGGGGAACAGAACGGAAGGAAATTTTAACCTTCCTTCCCATCCCTTAGTGATCTCCCAAACAGGCCATAAGTATTCTGACATATAACTTGTAAATTTCATATAATCATAGCATAAAACTTTGTATCTGTTTTTCTGAAACATCACACAACTAAGGCATGTTTTAATACTGTTAAATTCTACTTCGATTGTTTGACAGTCCCAAAATGTCAAGCAAACTTTCTATCTAATGTTAGGATGGACCTTCAACCTGAATCCAAGTGGTAGACACTGTAGATGACCTGTGGCAGGTAACATCGTGATCCGAAACTACTTAAGAGTGAAGTTGTGCTGGCGTGTTTCATGGACTTCACCTGCTTTACATTTAACCATTACGCAAGCGTTTCCTGGTAATTGTTTTGGTAGTAGTTTGTACATCTTGATAAAAAAACCAGACTCATTCTTTCATCTTTAGCCACGCCATGGGTGCTAAATGAGATCTCATTCTGTTGATCATGCAGAGCCTAGACTCGAACTATATAATGAATGCTCATAGTTTAGATCGGGTGCCTGAGAGTAAATTTGAGGTGAATATGAGAAGTAGTCTTGCTTTAAGGCCGGTAGTTAGGCCTACAACCTATAAGAGGCAGATCTAGCTTAATGAATCAATTTTAATCTTATGCGATAAGAACTGAAACTTTAGTATTACCACCAGTTTGATGTACCTTGCAGTAATTTGGTAGGTCACATGTAAATTTGTTAAGCTTATTAATGAAAATTCAATTTTTTTTTGCTTTACCAAAATTTTTGTCACATTTTTACTTTTGTGTTGCTTATATAGCTTTGTGTTTTTTTGCATTTTCTTAGGATCAAAGCATCAATCTCATCAAGATTACATGGAGAAAGCTGACAAAGCAAGGCGAGAGAGGCTATCTTCAAGCCAACCATCTAAGTAGTTTGAGGAATCATGGAACCTTTTGATTCCCTGTTGCCTGTAGCACCCACTTGAGATTAAAGATGCATAGAAATGTATAAGCTAGCAAAATCTTGGTAATCACTTGAGCGTGAAGATGCATAGAAATGTATTAGCTAGCAGATCTTGGTAATTGACAGTGATGCTGATTTTGGGTAAACTAAGCAAAGTTTGTGTTCTTTTTCTTTTTATTGTTTCGGATCGGAGTTTTGATGTGTTTTAATTGCTGATGGAGATGGCAGCGAGTGATTCCTTGTGATATTTGTTTTGGAATAAGTTGGTGTAGGCTTGCTATGTCAACTATTTTATCCAGTTCTCATGTGACTTTGTATTGATAATCCTGTTTATTGGTAGTACAAGCGGTTTTTGCTTGGTCAAAACAAGTAGAGAATGCTTCTCTTACTGCCTTCAGCTATTTTATCATCATTATATTTATAGCTAAGAAAATGGGTGTAGATACTAATGTATTTCATAGTTCAATCCAATTCGTTGTTAGTGTGAGAAATCTTATGTTTGGCGGAACCTACCGGGGATCGTCAATTAGAATGGTCTAATTCATTATGGATTCTAGCATTGGATATTGTAAGAGTCACCATGAAGATGATGTTCGGTGCTTGTTTCTTCGCAATAATAGAGTCCAAAATGTGGTCATCTGTTCACAGTTCACTTTGAGAGATCAAAAGATAAAGGGAACAAAGTAAAATAAATAAAAATAAAATAAAATTTCCGAAAAAAAAAGAAATGAAAAAGAACCATTAGAGCCACATTAGGATTGGTACAAAGAATGATATGCATACGTACGGGGCTATATCGATGAAGGGGAAGCCTCAGCGGCCTTTCCCTGATATGAACGCAGAGAAAGAACTCAAAGAAAATTTTCGATACAGAAGTTTGTACAATTTGGTATAATTGATACGATAAAGCGATGAACAATCTATTCACCATCGTCAGTTAAGACTGCACTCAGGTCAGAAAAATGTTTTTACAAAGAGCTTAGGGAAGTGATAAATATGGTCACTACCTCCTCGTTTACAAAACTGAAGTGTATTTGTCGCCTAAATTGAAAAGATGCTGACCCCAATCACTTTAGCCCTTCATTCATGCTTGGTGGCATTCCGAGACTCTGGGCAAGAGTGCTCATTCTCTCTTTCATGGCCTGGAAGAAATAGATGTCATAATCTCAAAACAAATTACAAAGATCCCATTACTGTATCTAAAAGAATTGATTTTTACCTGTACACTCTTCTGATGAGCATCTTTGTAGGCTTCAGTTACCAGCAATGAAAGCTTCTGCAGAGAGAGATGCAGAAAGAGACAATGTTACGAAGGTGCAACGCAACAGTTCACAGGGTGTCATCTCAATTCCCACCTCCTCACAGAGAGTTATACAAGCACATTTCAATAATGTTGTTGGGTACGTTAATCCATGGTTTTCAATCAATCATTGGATTTAGGTTTGTTCAAGTGTCGAAAAATACTGTAAAGCTCTGTTACCTGGACTTCTGTTAGTCAGTACTTGTATTGAAACTAATTCAGCTTGCAGGATCTTTTCCGAAGGATTTAGTAGAAGACCAATTATCAAAGTAACTCTTACAATAATACTTGTAGTTTTTTCCTCCGAAAATAATACTTGTTAGTTTTTCGCAATCTTCAAATTCTGAGAAATGCTATGACATTTAGGATCATCTTATATGCCTGAGAATTGAGATTCTAGGTTGATCACCTGAGCATAAATTTGGATGGTGTAAACTCATTTGCAGTTTCTAGCATCTAGGTTCTTATAAAAGTAACTAAGCACTGATTAAGAAAAAGTAACTAGGCAGTAAACCCAACTAATTAAGCATGCTAAATCAGCATGCCCTTAGTGATAGCAAGGAACAAATGCAAGTACAATATCAGCCATGTTGGCTAGCTTTAGCTGGAGTATGGATGCAGAAAAAACATGGGTAGAAACAGGAAATTCATTTGTGGAAAACAGAACCAGAGCCCTAAAAACATAAAGAAAGAATGGAACACCTAACTATGGGAGACGGTAAAAGAAATTAAACTACATATTTAAATGTCACATACACTTGAATAGGTAGGGAAACAAACAATGAAGCAACCAAATGGAACAAAAAGAGTGAATAGAGTTTCCCAAAATCAAGTGGTACTAGCATAAAAGTTTCTTGCAACTTAAAATGCGACTTTGAACTGGTTTCTAAATTCTACCAGATCTGAGCAAGGTTAAAACATAAGAGGGTAATTGTCTGCATTGCCAACAGAATTGACATGAAGCTGGACCCACTTTATAAGATAAAATTTAGAATATGAAATGCTAATGTTGTATCACAGAATTTTACTATGTGTAAACTACTTCTGAGAAGGCAACACGTGTCTCAATTAAATAAACTTAAGCATCATAATATTAACCCGACCTGGGTCTTGCGAACGCCGACTACCCTTCTTAATGCATCTTGAGGTCCGAGACGAAAGGCCTCCTCCCTCGGACTCTCTCGAAGGACTGAGACGAAAGACGTCCTTGCTTAGACTCTCTCGAAGGACCGAGACGAAAGATGTCTTGCCTCGGACCCGACTACACATCTTGAATCACGGGAGAACCTATCTGCTTCGTCATCCCCAGCAATGTCAGCTAGTCACCGTCGCATTAAATGCATGGTCTGAGGCATCATTACTTCCCCGTCAAAGTCATAATGACTCATCAGACCACGCTAGCACTTCAGCTGTTTTGTCGGCACTGCGATAAACACGAGGATGACTCGAACCACCAGCTTCCGATGCGTGTAAAGCATCGGCTAACTAAGCCGACTGCGTGGACCCGGGCAAAGTTACTCAAATACCCTTTTTGGCTCACTATAAATATGCAAAGTGTCTACTGCATAGGGATACACTGTGCTCTACAACAAAAAAAATCTTGAAAGCTACTTTTTTTCATATATTCCTCTCCCTTAAGATCATCACGAACTTGATCATCGGAGGAACCACCGGAGAACCCAACTCCGATCTTTTAACATATCATGTGCAGGAATTTGTCTTCTACTCAGAGCAATCAGCTAAAAGGATTGAGGGACCCTAAGCTCTCCTAAATCCACTCTGATCCCCTCAATTACATTTCTAACATAAACAGCTAGCAATCAATTGCATTATCCTCAACTGATGGATAAAAGCCAATCTTGAAGCACACATTTATATCTGACATCTTGAATTAATGATGATCTAGGTAGCAGGGACACGGTTGCAGACACGGACACAAAAATGGACATAGGACACTACAAATTAGTAAAATGTAAGATATAAATAATATTATATTTAGATCATAATATATATATATATATAATATATATATATATATATATATAATATATATATATATATATAGTATATATATATATATATATGGGAGAAAGTGTTCCAAGGTGACGGCCTTAGGAAATGCATCTAATAGGACGCCTGTGACCAACATCACATGACTTAAGCATATATTGTGGATGATCACCGCTCCGTTGACTTGAATATACATATTCTAAAACCCAACACAATCCAAGTTTGGGGTGAACGCGCATCGTCAGTTTGACTCGCCGTCATCGTCGACTCAATGTGAAAAGTTCTATTCATTCAAAACGCTTAAAATTGATACGAGTGGATGAAGGGTCAAACCGATCAGGACGAGTTGACCCAACTTGGTGTGCTTGGGGTTTTAGAATATGGTAGCAGTCAAAGGTCAACGGAGGCGGATCAATACTACAATGTAGCCTCCAATGCATGTGATTATATCAGGGACTGCGTGACTTCAGATGATTATCTAAGGCGTCACCTTATGGAACACTTTTCCCTATATTATATAATATATATATATATATATATATATATATATAATATATAATATATATATATATATATATATATATATATAAGATAATTGGAGGTGAGCTGGCAAGCTCAACGTACCGCCCGTGAGCTGGCAAGTTGTAATGACATGTGAGCCCGCACACTGATGTGAACTAGATAGGGACTCACATGTCACTAGAACACTTGCAGGCTCACGGGGGGTAGGTGAGCCTGGCCAGCTCACCTCGCATTTATTCTCTCTCTCTCTCTCTCATCTCTCTCTATATATATATATATATATATATATATATATATATATATTATATATATATATATAATATATAATATATATATTAATATATATTATTATTATATATAAATATATAATATATATCAATTATAATTAATTTAATCGTAATATTGAATTAAAATACCTACAATATTTGTATGTTTCTTTCTATAATATAACAATTAAGAATCGAATTAAGTCAAACTACGAATAAGGTTTAACAATAAAACTTTAGTCTTGATCGCATGGGATAATAAATGGGTATCTTTCAAACATCTAAGTAATGGGTGTTAGTTTTCAGGTTTAAAAACCGATAGGTTTTGAACTCGATATTCCCAAAGAAACAGTCTAGGTTATAAGTAGTGGAGTAATCGGGTTTTGCTTTGAACCACACATGTCCATGGCGAACGCCGCGTCCAAGCAACCTAGATGATGATATAAGTGGTCATTGTGCTACAAAATGAAGAAAAGAGAATATACCTCAGGCCCAAGCTCCATGGCAGCCTCAGTGATTTCAGTACGTATAGGTTGTTGGTTTCCAGAAAGTGTAACCTAGCAAAAATGTCAGCAGAGCAGAGATGAATTCAAAACTTATTTTTCTTGAGAAACCAACAACTATTCGGGGAAAAGTCCAATAGGCCCTGAATAATTTTATTATGTGGTACCATGGTTGAAGAAAAATGCATTTAAATTTGCCAGAAGAAGAACAAGTAAATTAGATAACTGCATAAACTCCACGAGTAACTAAAGACCTTAAAAGTAATGGTAAAGTAACGTCCAGGTATCCATAATTGCAACATCCATACATAAATAACTGTAGTATTCCCATCCTTCATTTTATTTATTTATTTATCGTGAATAAGTTCGTGATTTGGTAAGTGGGGCTAGCACACTTTTTCTTCATAAAAACTGATAACAACTTGCTTTCTTGATAATGAAAAAGAAAGCAAAGGATACAAAGTCATAAACAATAACAAAGTTATATGATAAAAAATGTGAAAGCATATTGCATTGACTAAAGTAAAAAACTTACATTTTGGCAGATTGCGAAAAGATATTATGAAGAATATCAAATTTTAAACCATGACACAATGGTAGCAGTGCACCATGCAGACTAGTGCGACTCATTTTTAACTAAAATTAATGACAATATAAATAGTGATCAAATATACCTTGATTAGCTCGCCTTCACAGTAACCATCAAACTCAGCTCTGTCAAACAAAAGGAAACATAAACCTATGCTTAAGCTTTCATGAAAAGCACCAGGGAAATGATTCTTTAAACAATGATACAAATAAAGCATACGCTGCTAGTTCTTTCTGTACACGAACAGCTTCGACTTGGACCACCATTTGAGCTTTCTTAACAGTCTCATATAGATTTTGCATGTTTCCAAAAATCCCTGCCTACGACAAAACAAGATAACAAATCACATAGTCAACAGTTATTAAGAAACTTTTACTTGTGGATGCAGTAGTGTGGTTTAAGCAATAATACTGGGGTATTATACTTTAATAAATGATTATAAGTTCTTCGTGAGGAGAAGTGAGATGATTTTTTAGCTAGTTAAAACTCCGCTTAACAGAAGACCATTACCTGTCATGGAAATATATGCGTAGGAAAGGAAATAGGTGAGCTTAAAAAGAATACAAGGGCAGGTCCTGCTTGGATTATCAGCTGATTTATGTCAAGCTCTCTTTGAGTTTAATTTTGATGCTCCTTGGCACCAGTTAGGAAAGATCTTTCAATTGACACATGCAGGATGTATTGAAGTTCAATTTCCTCCAGTTCTGACTGAATTAGTTGATTTTTTATTTTAACATTTTATCTGATTGGTGTGACTGAGTAATTGGTTCTGACTGAATCAGTTGGATATTATCAGCTGGTTAATTCAAGCTTTCTTCGTGTTGCATTTTGATGCTTCTTATAAACAGTTAGGAAAGATCTTTCATTTGATTTACACAGGACAACTTAGATAGCACTTTCTTCCTGTTCTGACTGAATTAGTTGGTTTTTTATTTTAACAATTTATCTCATTGGTGTGAGTCCTAGGTTTCCCTTTCAAGTTTCATATGTAGACATAAACTTTTTAGTGTATAATATTAGGGTTAATTGCGAACACAACTGTTTGGTGGGAAAATTGAAAGAAGAAAATGGAGAATTGAATTTGTATTATTCTCTCTAACCGACTTAGAAAAGAATGATTTACAATTCTCTCAATGTAATATCTCTCTAACAAACTTAGAAAAAGAAATTACAATCTTCTTGTACCAGATTCCCGATTTACAAAAGAGAGAAAAATTGACGGAGATCATTCCCTTTGTTTAAAACTGGGTTCTTCTTGGTGTCGACGGGCTTTCAATCTTGTATCCCGTTGATGATCCGAACATTTCACTTCACTGGAACACGGTTTCTTCCTCTTGATTGATGTTGAGGAGGACTTGTGTGACAAGTTTAAACAGAACTCTTGATGAGTTTAGGAACTCAGTGCGAGTTTTAAACTCTGTAGAAGAGTTAATTTGAACCGAAAATCGGTTTTAAGCCAAGTACCAAAGCTCCTTGTTGTTGAAGAATGCTCTCGGTTGCTGAAGGATGGATGCCTATCTCCTTAGAAGATTTTCTGATCCAAAAATTCCAACCAGTCAAAAATCAAAATTTTTCGAGCCCTAAACTCGGTTGAGTTAGCTTGATATTTATAGAGGGATTTTGGATGTAACCACCCTTAATCCGCTTCTTAATGTGGGCTTAATTACCCTATTAATCGGGTGTAACCGCTCCCCAAATTGTGGGTGAAAAACGGTTTTTTGGAACCGTTTGAATCACGTTTGAATGGATCAAACGCGGGTCCTGCGTTGCTGGGTGTGAATCCTATGTTCGAACGCAGCGTTTGGAAGCTGCGTTAGCAACTGGATTTGAGTTGCGTCCGCGGCTGAATTTGAGCTGCGTCCGCGACTGAATTTGAGCTGCGTTGGTGGTTGATAACGCAGTGGTTGCGTTGCTTTGACTATGGAACGCGGTCACTTGTGTTTTATTTCTGGGATGCAGAGATGAGTTCTACGTCTTGGATTGAAGAGATCGTTGACTTGTAATCTCTTCTGTCAAAACATCGCAAAGATCATCGTTTTATAATCTTTACTTTAGCTCCTTAAAATGTGAGAGTTATCAGATTGTAACTCTCGCTGTTGATTGTGAAGACTGTTGAATCAGAGCTTTCATCGATTGTCGTGAAGGTCGTCGAATTATAATATTTCTCGATCTACGTGAAAATCTTCTAATTGTACCCTTCATTTGCTGATGTAAAAGTCATTTGATTGTAATTTTTATTGTTGAATTGTTAATATGGAAGTCGTCAAATTGTAACTTCCATTATCGGTGTTTGATGGTGATAAACTATCTATTGTGATTTTTTAGATAGCTTACAACAACCCCTTAGTGTTGTTGTTTTGAATGCCCCACTAGTTTAATTGTCGTAGATAGACCCTCTGAGTGAAGGCCCTTTGCCCTTTAACTCTTTTACCCTCAAAGAAAGTAAAATATGTTTATTGTTCTTTGACAAATAGACCCCGATTCAAAAGATTTCAAGTCAGTGGGTGCATCTGCAAAGAAAACAAAACTATAGGGTGTACTAAGTCTAAAACAACGATAGTACAGGGGGTCTATCTGCAATCGACCCATAATGGTAGAACCAAGCTTCACACAGATGAGAAATGATGAAACCTTCACATGAACACACGTACCTGACACACCACATTTCTGACCCCCACTAGTTTAATTGTTGTAGATAGACCCTCTGAGTGAAGGCCCTTTGACTCTTTTACCCTCAAAGAAAGTAAAATATGTTTATTGTTCTTTGACAAATAGACCCCGATTCAAAAGATTTCAAGTCAGTGGGTGCATCTGCAAAAAAACAAAACTATAGGGTGTACTAAGTCTAAAACAACGATAGTACAGTGGGTCTATCTGCAATCGACCCATAATGGTAGAACCAAGCTTCACACGGATGAGAAATGAAGAAACCTTCACATGAACACACGTACCTGACACACAACACATTTCCGACCCAATGTAGCCTAACAATAGAGTTTCTATGATATATAGGATGACACACAGCTTTAAGCTTTACATGTAAAGAAAAACATCAGCCTATAATGGATTTGTTTCATACTTCCTGAATCAAGGTATGGATAGCCACAATATTACCAATGTCAAAACATAGTACCAACAAAACAATTTCGTACAACAAGAAATAACAGAATGAAGAAAGTAATAGATTGAAACACTGATCGAGAAATAAAAGGTCTGTCTCCTTACCTTTTGTGGTGTATCGTCACTGTTCTCACTCTTCTCCTTCTTTCCTCCAAATAAAGGTCTGTCTCCTTACCTTTTGTGGTGTATCGTCACTGTTCTCACTCTTCTCCTTCTTTCCTCCAAATAAACTAAATACTTGAAGAGGCTTCCTCAGTATCGTCACTGTTCTCACTCTTCTCCTTCTTTCCTCCAAATAAACTAAATACTTGAAGAGGCTTCCTCATATGAGCTCTTTTGTTATATGTCCATAATGAAGATGGTGTGACTTTCAGTTGACCTGAAAGAATATCAAACACAACAATGTATGTGCAGAGAATAACTAAGAATGGATGGAAAGATAAAATGGAATTTTAAGTCACAAATTGATCGTTTCCATAACCAACAACCAATAGATTTACCTATCGATCACAACGTAACATAAAAATTATATACTATTCTGTATTATTTCAGAGAAGTTGATACCAGAATAGTGTTCTAATTGTTAGCCAAGTGTAAGTTAGATATTTAGAGAATATCCATCCAAATGAATCATGCACGGAACAAGCAAGATGCATGTATTTTGAACAGGCCCGGTTCTGGGGCTGTGCAGAGTGTGCGATCGCACAGGGCCCCCTGAGATTGGGGGCCCCAAAATTTTTTTAAGTCGTCACTCCTCAAATCCCGCGAATCACTCTCTCGTGCTTCCCCCATTGATTCCCTCAAATCCCGCTCCTCAGTCCTCATCAAAAGAAAACTCATCTCCTAGACTCCTTCAATTCCCAGATCCCTCCCTCCTCGTCTTCCCCAACACTCCTCCCAAGTCCCAACTCCCCTGTCCCCTCTTGCTCAGCCCCAAGCCTCCTCCGCTCAACGCCCGCGAGTCCGCGACCGCACCGCCTCGAGTCGCTGTCTCGACCTCCGCCCGAGCCCGCACCGCACAAGTCACAACCCTACCTCACCGCCCTCCGAGGCTCCGACCAACTCCCCGCCAAGCTCCCCTCAGCTCAGGGCCTCAGGCGGTTCGCTATTTATACCCGCCCCTCCGCCCTCGTGATTCACCGACCAAAGAATTCCAAAGCGAGAAATAAAAATCACATTTCCCCCCCTCCTCTCAAGATCTTGAATCTTGATCCGATCCAAGGTAATCTTTTTCTTAGTTTTCATTACTAGATTGTTGTTTCCATTGCGATTCTTGTAGAGTTTCACTTAATGCTTAATTTGCTCGAGGAATTTGGGAATAATTTTCAATAGAATCCAATTTGGGCCTCTTTTGAAGCTTTTTGTGGGTTAACTTCAAAAGGAAAATGTGGGAATTTTTTCATTAATAGATTGTTGTTTCCATAAGTAGCAGTAGAAACAAATAGTTTTCATCTTATTCTTATAAATAAATATAGAGGGCTCAATGATGGCAAGCTCTACAAAAAATTGAGAGCAGACGGCACATGACCAAAATAAGCTTGCTTAATCAAAACAAAAACATTTATTGCAACAGTTCTATAGTTGTCATACGTAGCTTAATGAGGATTAGATGAAAGCAGGAATCATAGAGAGGAAGGTCGTCAAGAAGAACAAATCAGGAACAAATGAATTCATTTGCATCACAAAGAAATGGAAGTTCACTGTTTACAAAGAAATGACAGAACTTTGTCCCTGGTTCCAGCAGAATTTCTTGATGCTGTCACATTTATAATTTATAAGTACATGTAAAATTGAGCATTTTGCTGAGTTTTCACAAAAACATTTCAGAAAGATTTGATGTGATATCCCATCTTTGTAATCTTCTAATGTAGAACCTGACATGGGCATCATTTTTTTCTTTGTTTTTTTCAGTGAATTTGATAAAGCGAAAATGGCTGACATGGGTGAAAGATCATTTCAAGGTGAGTTCTTCAAGTTCTCTCTACTTCATTAGGTTTTTTGAGGATTATAGAGAAGTTGGGCTCACACAAGCTATGACAATTGCTAAAGAAATTGGTACTGAAATGAAAATTGATTCTGTATTTCAATTAAAACGTCAAATCTGTAGAAAAAGACAATTTGATGAGAACGTTAATGAGGAGACAACACAATCAACTGAAGAATCTTTTAGAATCAATTATTTTTTGTATATTGTAGATCAAGTCATTGGTTAACTAAAGAAAAGGTTTGAACAATATAAAGTATATGAAGAAATTTATTAATATTTTGTATATAGAGAATGACCATGTGTTTACTTTTCGCACAGGGCCCCTAAAATCTCAGAACCGGCCCTAATTTTGAATTATGGAAGCATGGAGAGATTGCATGCTCACATGCTCATATGCGCAAGATACAGAACTTACCTATACATATCCATGAGAAAAGGAATACAAGCATAGGTCATTAAGTGTAAAAACAAATGGGAACGACTATGTAAATCCGTTAAAATAAATTCAAATTGTTCAAGGATGAGATAACACTCCCCGAAGGTCAAGTTCATAAGCAACGAAACAAGAATGCCAGGGTAGACTAAGAAGCATCTTGGTTCAAAAGGCATTTTTTGCCTCAAAGAATGGGCAACTCCTTGTCACAGAATATCAAAACTTAGCTAAAATGCTGAATGGCTTGCATTTTGCAGACAAGACAATTGACTCTTTCAAAAACAAGACCCAACTTTAAAAAATAAAATAGAATAAAAAATAAACCACAAATATCGTAACCTTCCAAAATCTTATGGTTCAAAGTATCCATGACACGTCACAAGCTTCCATTATCCAAATAGGGGGAAAAAACTACTAGTTCGATCTTTATTTGGGTATAAATTGACCTAAACAAGTAGTATTCAGCCAATCATAACAGCAAAAAACATCAAGCTATAACGTCAACAAATAACATTCAAGCTGCATATATAATTCGGCAAGAAATAACTATTAACTAAAACCATTTCTAACCTACAAATTTCATAGATTTTTAGTGTTTAGAGCCTGAATGTTGAAGGGTTACGTAATTCTTTGCAAAAAATTCATGCCTTAATCGAACAAAACAGGGCAAAATGTCATTTTTACTACGAATTTTGCATCTGCGTAGAAGAAAATAATCAAAGAAAACAGAAAAAAAAAAGTGAAATCCGAAGGCAAAAGCCCTAGTTCGAAGTAAAGGGGTTTACTTACAAGAGGAAGCGGAGGAAGAAAAGCTAGGGTTTTTGCTATGATTTGAGATGAGAATGCTCGACAGTTGACCAGTTGAGGAAGAAACAGACGCCATTGGAGAGAATTGGAAGCTCGGGGTGAAGATAGAACGAATTTATAGCTGGGATTTCTACTGCCCGACTGACTGCGGCTGAGTGTTTTAAATGACGATAGTACCCTTCTTAAATAATACCCTAAAGTTTCGATAACATCGCGCTTAAATACCCTGTTTTGTTTTAAAACTGAGCAAAGAAGATATCCCGACGTATTTAAGTGTCTCAAATAAATACTCTAAATTTTAAAATATTGCACTTTGGTGTCTTTTTCTTGTTTGTCCAATGTTGCACATTACTGTTCTCTTATTTACCCAATATGGCTTGTATGTACCCTTAGGGCTTGTTTGGATTGAGGGGAATAAGGGTGAAGGGAAGTTAGGGGAACCATTCACCTTATTTGGGAACATTTAGGAGGTGAAGTTATTCACCCTAATTCCCCTTGGTTCACCCCCTAATAGTATAAAATTTGTTACCCCCCAAATTGGGGTGTAACCAAGGGGAAGGGAACTCCCTTCCCTTCCCTTCCATTCTCTCACCTAGTTTCCCTTAACTTCCCTTAACCCCATTGAAATCCAAACACACCCTTAGTTTATAAATGACCTCACTTAATTATCATAAAGTTCTTAAAAGTTTTACTTTAGTACTCTTTGTTATGTGATGTTTTTGGATAGGTACAGTAAAGTTAATGTCATCTGGTTTTTTTTTATGAGGCACTCATCTATAACACTTAAGTACTTTGGGGCATTTTTTACTTGGTTTAAATTAGTGGTCGTTTTAATGTAAGGTTAGTGAAACTTTAGGGTATTTAATGGCGACTTAGCCTAATTTAGAATTCTTAAATCTTATTTCTTCTACTTTTTTTTATAACCCAATCTAAAATTGAACCTAAGATCATGGGAGCTAGGGGTGTCTATTCAGGCCCAAGGCCCAGGCCCAGGCCCAGGTTGTCTTGGTGAAGCCCGGACCCTGTTATTATATTTATATATAGTTTTTATATATTGTATATAATTTATATATATTATATATATAATTATATTATGATATGGTCATTAGTGTATACAAATATATTTCTAAGTGTATATGTTTTCTTTAGGAATGGTAGTAACTTCGTAGACCTAAGTGTATGTAGTTGTATATATTTAAGTACGCAACTGTGTGTGTATACTTATATATATACACTCTTAGTATGGTATAAATACTAAGATATAAGTATATAAATATATGTAATGTAGTTATAAATATAATTATATGTGTATATTATAGAATTATAATTATATAAGTACATAAGTATAAGTATATATGTGTTAGTCATTTTAGTGCTGAAAAGTAATCTCCAATCAAAGGCGGACAAGTGTCCCACATTATGCGTAATCGAGCCAGCGCTTCAAAGTAACCCAAGACCCAACTCGAACGACTTGACACGCTAACATCTCGTAAAGGTGACTCAAACGGCGTTACATATTGACCCCTGGCTAGGTCGACTCCCTAATCGTCCTACTCGACCGGCCTTTCATCCGACATCTCGTAAGGACGATTCAAATGGCATTGCATGTCGAGCCCTGGCTAGGTTGACTCCCTGATCCACCTACCCGACTGTCCATTCGGCCGATATCTTGCAAAGGCGACTCAAAGGGTGGTACTTCTCGACCACTGGATGAATAGAAAGGCGACGAAATACCTCAAGCCTCGAACCCCCCTTGCGCAATGGCAACCAATCACCTCGCAATAAATACCATTAAACGCATTATGGGCGTCATCATTCCTCTGCCCCCCCGATAGTCTTTATGACACATCGTACCACGTCGGCACCGCACACCCCCAATCACTTTGCATTAAATACCAAAGTGACATCTCCTCCACTCGTCGGCCGACACCTGTAAAGCAGAGTTTGACGTGACAGTCATCCCATACTCAGCTGAAGTTACCATTCTACCCTTTTATCACCGCTATAAATAGGGGTACTATTTTCAACAATAAGGTAAGATCTTTACCTCTACCTACTATGCTTAAGAACTCTGCAGTTCATTTTACTTCTCCACTCAAGCAAATCACTGACTTGATCGTCGGAGGAGCAACCGTGGAACTCAACTCCGTCCTCTTACGATTTGCTACTTATGCAGGGAAAAGTAGCCTACTCCAGAACCGGACATTTAGAGGGTTAGAGGGCCTCCGTCAACTTAATCACTTTTTTCATTTGACTATTTGATATCAGCCATCAACAATAAGTATATTGCATCTAATATATATAAAAATATATCATATAAGTAAAGCGTATGACTGTACTTAAATAAGCATAATGTAAGTATGTAACAAGTACATATATAACTATATAATACGTATTTATAAATAAGTAATATACACTTATATGATTCTCTCTCTCTCTCTAAAGTTATAATTTATAAGTATATACAATATATTTAAATATAATATATGTATATATAATATATAGCTATATAATAATATGTAAGTATATACTAATACATACTTATATAAATATAATAAGGTTAATCTCATTTTTAGCAATTTTTTATCAAAAAAAAACATAAAACAAAAAATCCAAGCCGGCCCTGAGCCGACCCGGGCCAAGCCCAGGCATCCCCTATATACTTTTAAGTTATTTTAAAGAACCCCTATTGATAGGTTCCATCCAAATTTTATACCCAAGTGCGACTAAGGTTGTTATTGTAATTTTCCATAATACTTAGGTAAAAAGTTTGTATGACGATGAAGATAAAAAGTAAAAGAAAAAAAGGTTAACAAGAAAATTACAAGAGGAAAAACATAATTATCCCTCTAAGTAAAAATAAATTGCCAAATTTGAAGAATCATTTTTGATTGGATGTTGTTTCAATGTTAAAAGCTGTTACAGTAGAACTAGGTATAAAACCGTTTATAAAATATAAATGAGACATAAATTTTAAGGCATGAAACACCTTACTTAAAAAAATATTTGCTCTATTTGGTAAATTTTGCTTCAGATTAATGTAAATTTTCTTCCAGGACACAACAAAAATTTAAAATTTCAGAAAGTAAATTTGAAACTTTCTACTAATTCTCTGTGCAATGAGTTTGTAGGATTGCAGATTTTTGAGAGAAAAATTTTAAGAAAGAAGTGAGTGCTGATGTTTAAAATGATAGACTATTTATAGGTTTGAAAAAGTGTCTTGAACAGTTATAAATTTTTAAAACATCCCTTGAAAAAATAGTCATTTTCCTACAGCAAAAAACAACCATTTTCAATATAATTTTAAAAATCAAAATAACAATAACAGTAATAAATAAAATAATATAATAAAAAATGTATAGTAAAAAGTTAAATATTTGAGCGACAACACTTAATCACATTAAAATCAAGTATTATCCGCACTTTCCGCACGTGGATTAGAAGTCTGTGTTTTGACTCATTTATCAAAGCCTAATAACCATTAGATGTTTACAAACCTCTAAAAGAATGCTTGTAGGCTGTCTAAAAATCACAATAGATAGTTGATCCCCCATCAAACACCGATGATGGAAGTTACAATCTGACGACCTCCAGAAGGCTACAATTTGAGGACTTTCACGTAGAAGGCTACAATCTGACGACCTTCACGACAACTGATGAAAGCTCTAATTCAACAGCATTCACAATCAACATCGGGAGTTACAATCTGACGACTCTCATATTTTTAAGGAGCCAAGACGAAGATTACAAGAGGACGATCTGTGCAAAGCTCTAGCAAAAGAGACTACAAATTGACGGTCTCTTCATATTAGAATGCAGATATCTCTCAAACCGTAAAGAATTTGGCGAAACGGAGGAAGCGAACCGAAGCCTTCGGCTTGGTTCGGATGGCCCCGTCTCGTCGAGATAGCCGATTTTCATATGTAATTCGTCCAATTCCGACGTACGGTTTGAAAGTTATGACCTGTTCCTCGTAGCAAATTATGTTCTGAAGTCCGTCTGCAAGACTGGACTTCGTCAGAACATTGGACTTAGCCTGAAGCTCGCCCAACCCACCTAAGGTTCGCCTCTACATTACAGAGTCAAAACGCACAGGTCGAA